TATAGATTGAAACTTTTCGTATACATCTGAAACCTTATTTTTGTACATGTTTAATATTTTTTTCAAATATATGATCAACCTTACTTTTATGCAATTTTGAATTATTTTCAAATAAATGATTAAGATCTTTTGAAACATGTTTTGATGCATACATTTTTCATACACATAATACATGCCAGAAACATTTTTTATACATGTTTACCATCTTCTAACTAAATAAGTAACATTTTAAAAAAATACATGATAATTATTTCATACACGTCGTACATTTTCCTTGTACTTCAAGAACAATTTTCTACACACGTGTAACATTTTTCAAACACATGATTTAAAATTTACATTTTAGTGAACACCTAAAAATAAAAGGAAAAGTAAAATCAAAAGCAATAGAGAAGTAAACATAAACAAAAAAGTAAACTGAAAAGAATAAATCACGATATTATTGGGCTGACCCACTTACTATAGCGTTGTAGGTAAGTGCTTGCCCCAGCATGACCAAAACAGCTATATCTCGCTTAAACTGAGATAGAACCTCCATCGCCCATTTCTTCTCATGGTGTAGGTATATGGGATGGCCCATTTCTTCTCCTCCCTGTAACTCGTTCGCTGTACTGGTTCGATCGTTCGCTTCTCGCTCCCTTTCTTCTGGATTTTCTTTCTATTTTGCTTTCTCTTTTTTCTTTTCTTTTCTTTTTCTTTTCAGTTTTCTTGGTTTACTTATGGTTTCCGCCGGCTTTCATTGTTTTTACCCATTTTTATTTAGTTTTCTTATTTTTGTTTCTTCTTTTTGCACTGGTTTTTTCTGGTTTTCCTTTTTAATTAATTTTCTTTCTTTTTGGTTTTCTGTTGTTCCTTCCTCAGTTTTTTTTGCACTGTTTTTTGTTTCATTTTTCTCTTTGGTCTTTTTGTTTCTTTTTCTGGCTTTCTTTGGTTTTCTTCATTTTCCTTTTCTTTCTTTTTATGTTTTCAATCTTTTGCAACGTGATTTCTTTCTTTTTATTGATTTCTTTTGTTTGTCTTCTTTGCTTTTTACTGCATTCCTTCGTTTTTCTTTGTTTTTTTGTCGATTTCCATTGGGTTCCTTTTTGTACAACACATGTCAACTCTTTTCAGTACATATTCTATATTTTCCTTGTACGTAAGAAGCATATTTTATATACATGTTTATCTTTTTGCACCACATAATGGAACTAATTTTCTAAGTCTATTTTTTTCCGTAACCATTGTACAATTTTTTTAAATGTAATATATCTTTTATACACAGTTAATATTTTTCAAATAGAAGATTAACATTTCGTGAATACATGGTCAACATATTTCAACACACGGCGAATATTTTGTTAAATTGCAATAAACCTTTTTTCACCCACAATGTCCTTTTTTGTATACACTAGGAATATTTTTATACATGTTTAACAGTTTTTTAAATACATTATCACATTTTGTTATACACAAAGTTTTTGTTTTCTATATATTTTTCGTATATATGACAGACCTCTTTTTATCCACATTTAACATTTTCAAATGCTGGATTATCATATTTCAAATACTGGATTAACATTTTTCAACTGCTTGATTAACATTTTTATAAATACATGATAAACTAGATTATACACCTTGTATATTTCTTTTATACCTTGTTCTTATACATGAGAAACATTTTTCCATACGCGTTTAACATTTTTCAAATGCTGGGTTAAAATTTCGTCAAACATTTTATGTAAAGTGTTTTTGTAATATATGATATTTAAAACATCTGGAACTTTAAATAGAAATTAAAAAATAAAGAAAAAAAATGGAAAGAACAAACACAAGAAGAAGAAAAAACGAGACACTTGCCTGTGGCCACCTACGCGCTGGGCTTTCTCATTTAAGGAGGCGCCAAGGAGTACCCCGATTGGCCCAAAGGTTGAGTTTACTAATTTTTTATATTAAATGCCATGAACCAAAAACACATATTTTTCTTATAAAAATAGAGAAATCATAAAATGTATAATTTCCATGCATATGAAAAAATGCTACTTTATAAAAATGTCGTGTGGATTTAGATAAAGGCATGCTACTTTACAAAAATGCCCCGATGTAATTTTTTTCTTTATTTTATCCATTGTGCAAAATTTTATAAAAAATGCCATATCTTTGTTTTTTTGCCATGACAATAAAAAATGTCATCCTCTTACTAATAAAAAAGCCATCCTATTGATAATAAAAAAATGTCATGCAAACACTAATAAAAATGCCATGATCTCAATAATAAAAATGCCAGCCTCCTAATAATAAAAATGCCATGTTACTAAAAATGAAAATGACATGCTCTTAGTCATAAACTGACATCCCTCTTGACAAATAAAAATGATGTGCAACTAAAAATAAAATTTCCATGTTACTAATTCTAAAATTGCTATCCTCTTAATAATAGAAATGCCGTGTTGTTAATTAGTAAAATGTCATGCTCTTTACTAAAAAATTGCCATGTGGGGGCATTAAAAAAGGCCTAGAAAAATGCCATGCTACATATTATTTGTTTCTATGGTGTATGGTGTGTCATGATTTACATGTTAATTTCCTTATAATCCTTATTTGTTTTCTTAAAATTTGTTACTTGTTTCCTTAAAATCCATTATTTATTTGCTTAAGAAAATTGCATTGATGGGAGGGATCGGTCGATTGGTAAGTTAGGAAAGTTAGATCTGTGATCTTTCGTCGTTAGAAAAGTGCTAGTTTGGAAGGAAATAGTGTAGAGGAAAATAAACCGTCGGATAAGAAACCAACATAGAAAGGGTACGGTGGTGGGAGGTGAGGCAAAAAGATCACGGTACTGGCCTACCAACTCCCCCTTTAGGAGTGGAGATGCCATATTCGTTTCCATAGATGGACATCATGTGCACAATGCTTTGAAGCTGCTAAAAATACATTAACTAGGAGATGGTTTAAACACTACCGACCAAATCCCACACGGCCGGTTCCACGCTCATGTAGCACGCGACATTAGACCCTTAGCCACCATCAGTTTGGGCCATTCTAAAATTTCTCCATCATAATTGCCTTCAAAGCCCCCTCCAAAAAATAAAAAATCCTCCGGCATGACTTTGTAAATAGCCTCATGCCTCCTTTCCAATCTCCCGTGCATCCGCTCTATTATCGAACATTGCTGACCGAAACCCTAGTTTTTTTTAGAACAAAGACGCCAGATGCGTCCGGATTTAACTTAATAAAGCCCACAACAGGCAGTGTACCGAAACATAAGTTAGATTACAGCACCAAAAGCCATCCCGACCATCGTAAGCATGAAAACGTCGTAAGTTATGGAGGCCGAAGAGGCCGCGAGCAGTCTTACAAGGCGAAAGCCCCTACAGAGCGTGCAGTCTCGCCATGAGACAAAAGAAACCACGCCCTAAGCCATTGTCGTCGGCTCCCTAGCCATCACCGAAACCCTACTCGCGACCAGTGTCAACATGATCCCAACACCAGTTGTCCAGTACCGTCCTGTGACGTGGCCTTGTGAACCCTGACCAAAACCACCATGGATCTCGCCAGCGAGGTCACAACCATCATCATCTGATCAAGCACAAACTTGAAGACACATCTTGTGGTTATATCTATCTTTTATGGAAGCATATCAGCTGGAAAACTCATCCCAAAATTGTTGGTGCCTGTGCACCATCAACTGATTGATACTATACATGGTCTGCATCATGCATGACTCCAGCGGATAAAACGAATGCAAGCTCATGGCTCATGCAGAGAAAGCATATTCCACATAACCACCCACAGATACATGCAATATTGCAACTCCACTTGACAAGTTGGGGTACTTAAACTTGCACAAAACTCTGCTTATATACATCCAACACGTACGCCAACGTCTACCACACTACACATGCGTGCAACTACCACCCAACAGACATCCACATGTACCAACAGTCAAACACACACCAACTCATGCGTGGATCTTGCAGAATAATCAAGATTCCAGCTAGTGGCACGTCACATGCATGCAGATCACGCGTGCAACGGCGACGGCGGCGGGGCCGAGCTCACGGCCGACTGCGCCGGGGCAGCTCCGGGAGCGGCCGTCACGGCGGCACCGCCGTTGCCGGCCGCCGAGCGCTTCAGGAACTCGATGCAGTCGTCCACGGCGTCGCTCGGGTACGACTCGGAGTAGGAGGGGCTCATGCGCACCGAGGCCGCCCTCGTCGGCGCGGCGGCCGTCGTGTGCTGCTGGAGCCGAGCGCCGGCCTTGGGAGACGAGGAGGCCGCCGATAGCATCGCCAGCCGCAGCAGCACCTCCCGGACGCGTTCCATCACGGAGGATGCCGCTGGGGGAGGAGCGCCGTGCTGCCGCGGCCTCCGCCGGACACCACCACCGCGCAGCCTCGGGATGCACGTAGCAGTGTTCGCCCTGAGGGGCTCGGCGTGGTGGACGTACATCTCGGCCTCCATTCCACGGCGAGCTCGAGCTTGCTTAGCCGCTTCGCCGTTAGGTAGCTAAGATTAGCTCAACTGGTGTGTGCTTGCTCGTCTCACTGAATGTACGTTTAGACGAGGGCTGGTGTTTATATATACACACAAAGATGGGCACCATTTGCATCTTACGTCTCATTTAAAATGGAGATGGTCTTGTCTCACCCTGCAACTTGTTGATCCACATGTTGCATGAATGCAGCCATGCAGATCCCTTATTCTCGGGAGAGAGAATGCAATTTTGGTTATTATCTTGGCTCTCCACAAAATTGTGACAACATATGATTGGATCTACTTATGCAAAATCTGAAGAATTAAAGAAAGCTGGTCAAAGCAACTGAACATTATATTGGTTTTTTCCAAAGGAACCGATGTTTTGTATTAATCGAACACCAGCATTACAAGAACATCCACCCAAAAAATACCGTCCATTCATCGGGAAGTCATCCGTCCTCCCTCTCCATCATGCATATATCGATGGCCAGCCGATATTGCTACCGTTGCGTAATGGCCCGAATAAGAAAGTAGCATCCACATAGGCAGCTAGGATTCACCGATCTTTTCCTAGAAGTATCGGCAACGATGAGCTTGAAGGATCCATGTCCTGGAGAAGAAGATGACACTGGGTCGATCACACCTATACTTTCGCCCAAGTCGACGGAATAACAAAATCGGCGACATTATTGTTGGAGCACCACTGGCCTCACGAAGACATAACCAACTCCCCTCGCTACTTCAGAGGAAAAGGCAAACCGTCCACCCGGTCTCATCGCTAGATCCAATGACACACCCACCGTCGAAGGCAAACCGTCCACCAGTCTCATCGCTAGATCCAATGACACACTCACTGTCGAAGCCACAAGAGACCTTATTGAGCACCACCGTTTCCACTACCGAAAGGGCCGAACCAATGAATATTGAAGATCTAGATGTCCAACCAATCTCGCCGATGTCCGGCGAACACACACTGTTGAGGCTAGAGAAAAGCCAGAGGAACCATTACTGAACACCGCTATACCACCACCGAAAGGGCCTAGCAATGGACAAAGATTTATTAAAGGCCCCACCGGTAGATCATGACCTCCCCGCTCACCCCACTGGCGTAGCCGGGAAGGAGGAAGAGGCCGGCAGGGCGATGAGTGGCGGCAAAGTGTCGAGAGAAGGTTTCCTTACGAAGCTCTTGCATGTTCGTTAACATTGCATCTACTTAAATTCACTAATATAGTCCCTTCATTCACTATTATAAGTTGTTCTTATTTTTTTTCTGACTTACATGTATATAGATGCATTTTAGTGTATTTGTTCATCATTTCAGTCAGTAAGTAGTCCATTTTGAAATATTCAAAACATCTTATATTTGTGGACGGAGGGAGTAACTGAGAGAAAACCAAGAAGCTTTCCTATGTGTTACTAGATTACAAATAATCTTTTCCGCAAAAAGAAAAGATCACGAATAATCTGTAAGGAGATTGCATATGCTACGGTTGGTTGGTCCCTTTCTAGAAGATTTGATTCAGAAAATCAGAGACGAGATATCTAGATTCTACGAGATATGTGTGCGCGGTTTGTCTTGTGCACAGCGCATGAATAAACCATGCGTCCATGCATGTGAGTGCGATGCAAGGCCAAACCAGATAGCAACTGCTCTCTATTTGGAGGATTTGATTCTCTTTTTTTCTTTTTGACGCGGAGGATTTGATTCTTGATCTCCTTGTTAATTTGGCCCCTGTCTAATTGCCATGCCGACCAACAATTAACTTTTTCTTTTGAAAAAATGCCGAGCAACACCAACAATTAACTAAACTTATGCTAGGGGCCTCCTGGACTCGCCCCTTGGACAGTATGCGTGCCAAGCCCAGGTGTGCACTAACAGGCTACCGGCCACAAGTGCCTGGTGAGCAAGCAACGAGGAAGCCATGCAGTAGGATCACGGCAACGGCATCCTCCATCTCTCCATCTCACGGCAACGAGGAAGCCCAGGTATGTTTCACCCAATCCTATTTGTACCAGACGACGTAAATTGGGCTTCCAAATAAGCATCAGAACTGTACAAAACGATTTTACTTACATGGATGGTACGCAGTATTTTTTTTCGGTTCCCATTTCTTAAAAAAAACAAATTTTTCATTGTCAATCCTGCGAGAGAATCGGTGATGGCAGCCTAAGAGAGGAACTAAGAATTGTTAATTGATGATCGTCATGAATTAAGTGGCCTCAAATGTAATCTGTCTAAAGCTTGTTGCTAACTCATATAGAAGATTCATGGCAAGGCGAATTTTGAACGTGTCTGAAAGCCAAAAGATTTACACTGATTGTTTCCCCCTGCCTAGCCAAAGATTGCCCTGCCGATGGGGAAGGGAACATTTCAGTCGAAGAAGATGTTGATGCTGAAGCGTGGCTCGCTCTGTTATCCCGCGAACAAGCTGCAATTGGAATTATCTTTGCACCAAATAAGTTTTCAAGGTGATTAATATATTCCTGGATTTTGCTCCCGGCTACAAGTCAGACAGCGACACTTTTCAATACGAAGACCACTCCTACTAAAATCTCACAGAAAATAGAACGACCAAGCCAACAAGTAGTCCGGCCCTTCGTCTCATGTTTTACTAATGTTGACATGTTATGATATCTTGTCTTTTGTCCTTGTTGGTGATCATGTTATACTTTCGTTTGCAACGTCCATGCTTAGCGGTGAGTTGTGAGTTGCGAGACTTGTCTAGGAGTTCCTCGCTTTTCATGATCAGTGGATCATGACATTAATTTTGACTAATCAACTATGGAACTAATAAAGTGAGTTGTGAGTGACGGTAGTGTATTACCGGTTGGTGGTGGTGGCAAATTTTTGGCGGTGCAGTGGGTAACCACATGCATGTTTTGGAGGCTGCCATCATGAATCAATCATAGTACACTCGATGAGCCGGGTAAAAGGATCACATAAGGCGTATCAATGGTGTCTAGGTTGACTATCTTCCAACAGGCTCGCTACCTGTGATTTGGAGGAGGCACTTAGATCCCACTGAAACGTGAACTAAACGGATCACTTCTACATTATTTCTTTAATCATTTTTTTTTGAAATAGAGGTGTATCCATCGTTTTCTTTTATAGTGGGGGTGCACAATTTTAGCTTGCCACTATAACAATCGGATAATTTAATTACCATGAGTATGAAACCACACCATATGTTGAATGGGCGCCTCTTGTGCCTTGTTTATCCCGGAGTTATGCTATGCCTAACATTCATGCCTTGCTGTTAGGTCACTTTCATATCAGTGATTAAGTTCGAGTACGAAAGTACTCATTGGGAACTCCAAACAATATTTCTGTAGGTGAGTCTAGCGTAGGTGACTACTTCATTTCCGGTCACATGGGCGATGCCTAGTTGCCAGGTCACTCGGTTGGCTAGCTCGTTCCGGGTTGTGGCTTTTGGTCGATATGGTGGGGATGCCGTCCCATATTTTTATGCTTTTATCTGCTGCCATGTTATGACCGGCCTTCGAGCCGTTTGTCTGTAATTGTCTATCTGCTCATGTATAAGAGATGTGTTTATGTATCGTGTATGATATGAAGTGCATGGTATGTGTTCATAGAGTTGGGCTTCGCTAATATTTGAAGGGAACAGTCGTTGAGCAATGGGGTGCATCGGTGATGAAATCCTGAGTATGCATGTGGATGCTAGTTACCACCATTATCGGAAGTATTTATACACCTGATCATGGTGGGGCCACAGTGCAGCAGGCTTGCTCAAGGACATTATTGTAGACCTACTTTTGAATGTCATCGAAGAAAAGAGTGTCAGGGTTTAAGTCAATGCTTTGATGGGGCAACCTGTTGACCGGTTTTGACCAAAGTGTGAATTCATACGCCGTTGGAGATTGTATGTGGATGGGAGAGTGAGGGTTAGGTTCACTAAAAGTCATGCCTTAGCGATTCTAACCTGGGCTAGTGCATTGTGATGAGGTCATACAAGTTCATTGTGTATGTCCTTTGCACGGCAGGGGTCATCTACTACGTTCATTGCATCCCTTAGTATTTGATTTAAATACCGGTCTCTGGCAGATTCGGCGACAACAGCGCTTGAGTGTGGCTCCCTTGTTGAAGACATTGCTATTGAAAAACTTCGACGCCCGCATGGTCTCACGAGATAGTTGGTGCGGTTATGGTCATTGTTGTAGCTTTCTTTTGTCCTCCCTACACGTAGATATGGTTTTATGTGACTTTGATACTTGCCGACGGTTAATTTTAGAAAAGAAATGCCAATTAATATCGATCGGAGAGACCTTTTGTCAAAAACATCTCCCACTAATTCACGTGGCAGATGCTCATCGGTCAATCTGACGGATAAAAAAAACTCATCAAAGAAAAGCCATGAAAAAGGAACGCGTTCAAGAATAGGGAAGGTAGCATAAAGCCACATGCGGGCCACCAAGAATGTCCCTGGTTCCTTAGCCATGAATTCACCGTCGTTCTCCGCGTGCTTTGCGCTTTTTCGAGGTTAACAACCTGTGCAGGCTTCTCTTCCCGCTCCCTGCCGGACTAGTAACAATTTTCAGTTTCTCACATTCACCCAGCTCCCACGAAATTAAGCTTGAGCTCTATGCACAAGATCGCAGAAATCAGTATCGATGATGAGTGAGTTTTTTCTACATTGTTTTGCTTAACTGAGTTGCCTCTTACCACAAGAATGGAGTGGGTTTTTTTCTACATTGTTTTGCTTAACTTAGTGGGGGGGAGAGCGCATTCCAGAAGACATGAAAAAGGAGGCCAATAACCGAGCGAGAGCTTTATCTCGCACAGCTCGAAATATGCTTTTCTAAAGCAGGCCCCAATCAATTGCCGCCTTTACCCCGAATTTTCAACGGTGGGAATGGGAACGGGAATGGAGTCCGAGGCAATGGCAGCCCGGGCCAGCATCCACTCACTGCTTTGCAAAAGCTGCTTCTTTATCCCTCCCCTCTTTATTTTGCTTTTGCATTAGATT